AAAGACAGCGTTTATGGTTTCCGGGTGACACAGAGTAGAATGGATTTGGCAGTGAACCTGCGCCTCCAGGGAGAAGCGAGAACGCTGAAGATCTGCACTCTGCTACCTGACTCAGAGGCGGGGGGCCTTCTGCTTTGGCACTTAGCAGTGCTCTTCCCCTTTCCAGCGGGGAGTGGGACAAGGCGCGAAATGAGAGGAAGTTAGAAGCGGGTGACTGGGCGCTGAAGGCCAAGGCCACCGTCCCTCAGGTACAGGGAGAACCTTCAGGTTATTGAAGCAGATTCATTCTCTCTTAACAGTGCTGTCTTCTCTCCATTAAGGAACAATGGCCATGGGGTTGGCAGGTTGTGTGGTGGTTAAGGAGCTCGGCTCTCACACGGCTGACCACGGTTAGAGTCCTGGACCTGGTGACCTGGTGACCTACTTTCCCACTTTCTCTCTCTCGCTCTCTTCAAATTAAAAAATAATCATGATAAAATAATTCTTAAAAAATGTAAAAAACAAAACAAAACAAAACAAATAAAAGGACGACTACCTTAACCTTAATGTAAAGAAAAAGTTACTAACGTGGCTGTCACCAGCGCAGAGCTCGGGAACGGGGGATCCCTAGTGAGCCACTCTGAGGACTAGTGTCACTTGCGTCACAGGCGTTCTTATCACCCAGGCACAAATCCCCACGCTAGCTTCCCTCTTGGTCGGCCGTGTGCATCGTCCGGACACCCAGTGACTGCCTGAGACTCAGGAATGAGTCACCCTCTGCCCACGCCGGTGGCAGGGGCACACCCCAAGTAACAAAGGTCAGGTATGCTGCTGGAAGGAGCACTCGGCACACCCCACAGCTCCAGGGGAAGGAGTCCAGACACAGACACAGACGCCATGACTGCTGGGCCAGGTACGTGGGGCCAGGGACCGGGCGAGTGAGCTCCGTACCTTTCTTTATTAGCGTGAGAGTTGTGTGTTTGTGTGTGTGTGTCCTGCTCATTTTTGTATCCTTTGGTTATTATGTAACTTTCCTACCATTAATTGATATATTAATATATTTTTAAAGAATTATTTCATTTTTTAACATTTATTTTAATTTGACCAGAGAGGGACAGAGAGAGAGAAGTGAGAAAAAAAGCTGCCAGATCTGGGACTCGAACCATGGTCAGCTATGTGGGAGTCTAGCACCCTTAACCACCATGCCACCTGCCAGCTCCAATATATTCATGTTATTAAACAAGATTGATTATGGTTATTCTTGTTCTAGATTTATTTAATTTTTTTATTAT